ATGAAGTAATAATGACAACCTCTATGATTCCACAATCAGTCATGAAATCTTCAAACTATGTCTTTGCTTGCAGTGAATGCATGCCACCAAGTGGCTAAAATTACATACAAGTGATTTTTTTTTAAGTACATACAGTTGAAGTCAGAATTATAAGCCCCCCTGAATTATTAGCCCCTCTGTTTATATTTTTCCATTTTCTGTTTAATGGAGAGAAGATTTTTTTTAACACATTTCAAAACATAATAGTTTTAATAACTCATTTCTAATAACTGATTTATTTTATCTTTGCCATGATGACAGTAAATAATATTTTACTAGATATTTTTCAAGACACTTCTATACAGCTTAAAGTGACATTTAAAGACTTAACTTGGTTAATTAGGTTAACTAGACAGGTTAGGGTAATTAGGCGAATTATTGTATAATGATGGTTTGTTCTGTAGACAGTCGAAAAATAATAGCCTAAAGGAGCTAATGATTTCGTCCTTAAAATGGTGTTTAATAAATTAAAAACGGCTTTTACTCTAGTTGAAATAAAACAAGTAAGATTTTCACCAGAAGAAAAAATATTATTAGACATGCTGTGAAAATGTCCTTGCTCTGTTAAACATCATTTGAGAAATATTTAAAAGAAGAGAAAAAAAATTCAAAAGGGGGCTAATAATTCTGACTTCAACTGTATATTGTGTTAGAGTTATTGATCATTGTTGTCTGCAAAATAGATAAATGGTACCTCTTTGTATCTATAAATGTTGAAAACAATTGTGTTGTTTAATATTTTGGTGAAATCGATAATACTTGTTTTCTAGAATTATTTAATCAATGGTATATAAAGAAGAATAGAATGTGTTTGAAAAAATTTTTTATAATGTAAAAGCATTCATTCTGAGTAATATATATTTTTTTACAAATCATATATGGAAATTATAACTCTTACTGTACTTTTAATCTAAGCCTTTGCACTGTAAGTCAGTGAAGCAAATGTAATACTGCCATCTAAATGTGTGAGTAAAAAAAAAAAGAGCACAAAAGCTTGCCAAGTGCCAAATCAAGCAGAACAGCATCAGACCTACTGCAGTTTATATGATGTAATGATAAATGATGTATTATAGTTTGGGGAATTCCATTTGCAAGTTATGCACAAGTGACTTTAACATCAATGCTCAAAAACATCTAAACGTTATCATGTGCAACGTTATCATGAGCAGATGTGAGCACTGATATAGCGATGAACAGATTGAGAAGTTTTCAGTTGCTCTGGGGACGTGTGTGCATGTGTGTGTTTGTGTGTGACCCAGCAGAATGACGTCCTGCTGGTGCTGCAATAAAACCTTGTAAGAAGTCAGAGGAAAAATTGTGTCTGTTAATAAAACAGAGATATTGACAGATTCTTGCCTCACAAATGAAGCAGGAACAGCAGTGAGATAAGAGAGAGAGATGTAATTCAACCCACTTTAGCAATATAACGTGAACCGTTTCTTCTCTCCCGCTTTATTTATTAGTCATGTGATCTGCAGTGACAGTCGATGCATTCTATCCTGCACCTAAAGGCGGTATATTTTGGGGCTGGAATTTGAGCGATGATGCCAGAGTTGGTGTCTAGCTGTGCCCTTGTGCCCCCCAGCCCAACTTGAGATGGATTCCTGAGCCGCAGGCAGAGACTGCTACAGCCCATCGCTGACTGAAACCCGATACCTCCAGAGCCGAGCACAAGAGAGTCCGCTAAGCTCTCCTTTATATCGTGCTAAGTCAGGACAGACTGCTGTTTTATTGTTGATTTTCTCATCTGAATGGGAGATGGGTGTCAGTGTTCTGCTTGAAGACTTTGTTAGGAATGTTTAGTTTGATTTAAGCCTCATTCTCACAAACGTTGACTGATAAAGATATTTATTTATTCATTCATTCGTTCATTTTCTTTTTGGCTTAGTCCCTTTATTAATCAGGGTGGCCACCGCGGAATGAACTGCCAACTTCTCCTGCATACGTTTATACAGTGTATGCCCTTCCAGTACTAAGAAACAACCATACATACTCGCACTATGGCCAATTTAGTTTTACCCAATTCACATATACCGCATGTCCTTGGACTGTGGGGGAAACCAGAGCACATGGATGAAACACGTAAACACTCGTAAAACATGCAAACTCCACACAGAAATGCCAACTTAATGTGAGGCGATTGTGCTACACACTATGCCACCGTGACGCCTGATGAAGATATTATTAAAAATTAGTTTTTTGATGGTGCTGTCCAGACATTTGGTGGCACAGTGGCTCAGTGTTTAAGCACTGTTGCCTCACAGTAAGAATGTTGCTGGTTCGAATCCCAGGAGGCAATTTTGTGTGAAGTTTACATGTTCTTCACATGTTTAATACCAATGTAAATCTCACCATTCTATCAGCAGTTTGTGATAGACTAGCTATATGGAGTGTTTTGCTGCATACAGCCTAAAAGACTGTGGTTTTACGCGGTTTGGAAGATGGATTGAGAGATGAACGGGTGGAGAATTTTTACAAGTTCACATGAATAGTACACTAGCTTCACACACATTTACACACATGGTATGTCAGGTAATGGCATTTGGTTTAAATCAAGGAGACATGAGACAGATTTCACTACACTACTGATCTAGACAGAAAGTATGACTATCAATCAAATTCACTGCAGATTCATTTCCCGAACCCTTTCTTCCCATTCACCACACTGATCTATGTCATCTGCCAGCCGGATAAATTGACATATAATTGCCAATTTTGAGATTGATATCAGCAGATAATCATCCTCACTTGACTGATTAATTTTTCCTGAATAGTTGCCTTTATAGTTGATGATGCAAATGAATAAGAGTATTGTAAAAAGTTTGGCTGGACAGTTTTTTTTCCCTGAAATTTATTCTGAGGAAATTATTATTTTATTCAACAAAAACGCAATGAAATTAAATTATCATAAAGAACTGTTATATTATATTATATTATATTATATTATATTATATTATATTATATTATATTATATTATATTATGTTATGTTATGTTATGTTATGTTATGTTATGTTATGTTATGTTATGTTATATTATATTATATTATATTAGATTATATTATATTATGTTATATTATATTATATTATATTATATTACATTACATTATATTAGATTATATTATATTATGTTATATTATATTATATTATATTATATTATATTATATTATATTATATTATATTGTTCTATTTAATTCAATTTATCTTCATTTGTATACCGCTTTTACACTATAGATTGTGTCAAAGCAGTTTCACTGAATTGAAACTGTCATTTCAGTTTTCAGAGTTTAAGTTCAGTTCAGTTCGGTTAAGGTCAGTGTGGTTTAATATTCGCTGCTGAGAGTCCAAACCAATGGTCCAAACACTGAAAAGCAAATCCATCGATGCACAGCTCTACAAGTCCTGAACCATGCAAGCCAGTGGCGACAGCAGCAAAGAAAAATGTTTATCAATTGGTGGAAGCGATGGATAAAAAAAACATTTCTACTATGGTTGTGTTGTTGCGTTACATTATACTCTTATATCATACTCTTATATTAACTCTTTTAGCTAATAATATTAATGAAATATTAATGAAAGTTTGACAGCTGGTTTTATCAGTTTGGTTTTCACATTATATTATATTAGATCAAATGAGGTGTGAAGTTTTTTACAGTGTGTTCAATGGACACAGTTACAACCAATATTAATAAAATTAATAAAAAGTATAAATAACAATATCAAAAATTATTAATACTATATTTTTAAAGTATCATACAAATTTTAAAAAGATTGTTATTATTAATATTATTAATAATAATAATAATAATAGTAATAATAATAATAATAATATGAAATAAAAACTGACCTTTTTATTGCCAGTTTATTAGATGCTGATTTAAATGTTACAAAAATTGGCATTTTCATTCAGACAGCACTACCTACGCCCTATTATTGGCATTTTATTTTATTGATTCATTATATTTGATTTTATTGGCGGTTCATTCCGCTGTGGCGACCCCAGATTAATAAAGGGACTAAGCCAACAAGAAAATGAATTAGTGAATAATGAATGAATTTTATTTTATTTGACTGGTAGAACGACAAAATCAGCATTAGAGTAAAAACATATAAAAATGTGTTATACTGTATACATTGTACAAATTAAATGTTATTTTTAAGCATTCTTTCTCAGGGTTTTCTCTAGGATTTTTTCCAACTGTGGCCTTTCACATAGATCTACCAACTACCTATGGCAATATTTGTGCAGTATTACAAGTTGAGATGACATTCATGTAATACGAGTATGCAAATCTCTTTCCTTGCGCTCCGATTTCCTTTTTTCGTGCACAAAACTTCTTGCACGCCCTCTCAAATATACGTTGCTCATTTATGTACAGAGTATGTCTCCAACATTTATTACATTTGCTAGGAATATTTATGAATGTCTCCAATAGATCTACAGAGCGGCAATAATGCGTCCTGAAGTAAAGTGAAACTGCTATAAATCCAGCAAGATAAAGTTATTGGACTGCATGCTGAACCATAGACCTTTATCTATAAATAAAGTATAATTATGGAAACTGTGTTTATCTTAAGTGAAAGCTATGCCGTGTTTGCTGGCCTCATGCATCACGCACCTGTCAGTCAATCAGTCATCAGGTCACCCTAAAGGGTTAAACAAATAACGCACAGCACTACTACGGTTACAGAAAAGTTTGCGCTGCTATAATTCACTTACCTTTTAATACATTTTTGGTGGGATAATAACCTTCTATTAAAAAAAAAAAAAAAAACACGACGGAATGTTTTGAATGAGAAGCTGTAATATAGCCATGCCGGGATGAATTGTGGTGTGGCGCCCCACCATGGAAGAACGAAAGCAGTGGAAACCATGCTTCTGTGTAAAGCCTTTCACTTGCATTGCCTCTAGCATCTACAGTAGGAGTTAATGGGTGTGTATTTTGTGTGTTTGCATCTGTCAGGTCTGACCTGTGGGGCTGAGCTCTCCTTCACCCTGGAGCCAAGTGACATCATCGCGGTCCAGCAGCAGCCTCTGATGCTGCACTGCCAGGTAGAGGGAATCCCACCCATCAGCACCCAGTGGAGGCGTAGTGGAGCCCTCGTCCAGGAGGACCACAACTATGTCATGTTCACCAACGGCTCACTGCTGATCACACACTTCCAGAAGATCAAGACTGATGGCTCATCGGATGAAGGAGACTATGAGTGCATCGCGCAGAACTTCTTCGGTCTGGTTGTGAGCCGAAAAGCCAGAGTTCAGGCTGCTAGTGAGTAAAGTTTCTGTGGCTTGTAATTCAGAGATGACACCTTGTTGTTTAGCTCACACTACACTACTACCACCTGTTCGTTTCAGTGCGCAAGTGCTTTTAAATGGCAAGCACTTAAAAGTGAAAGTGTCTCAGTTTTATAGAGAGCTGATATAATTGCGAGCAGTTGGTGATTAAAATTAAATTTTAATGCGAATCCATCTGTTTTAAGAAGAATAGACTGCCGTTGGTGATGATGGAAATAAACCTGCTTTAGAGTTATTACTGTATATTCCATAATTCTTGAGCTCATTTTTAATAAGCTTTTTTTATAAGCACAAAACAGAGATGCCCAAATTAGGGCCTGTGGGCCATCCCATCTGAGAAGAGAAGGAGAATGATGTGGAATCGGGGATGGTTAAAACAAAGTCATTTTTAATTTAATGAGACATTTTGTTTGTTTGTTTTATTGTGAAGCTACAAAAAACTGAAATGAAACATTTAAAGTGAATCAGTTTTTTTTTTTTAAGTACATGCATGTACTATCACGTGACAGATAGAAGACAATGCAGAGACATCAGTAAGCAAGTGATGGCAAAGGCAAACTAGTGTATTCAGCATTGATTCCACTTTAAAAATTTTATCATTGTGAAAGAAAATTTTGGAAATTAACAATGACAACATTAATGTAATATAGTGTAGATATATTTACCTTCGGCCCACAGCTCATTATGATATTTGGTTTTTGATCCTTCATATGAAAAAGTTTGGGGACCCCTGCACTAAAAAATACATAACTACTACTGCTACTGCTATTACTGTACCACCACTACCAATACCACCACCACTACTACTACTACTACTACTACTGATAATAATAATAATAATAATAAAAATAATATTACATCCCTAATCGTTGTTTATATCAATTATTTTACTTTTTTTGTTATTATAACTTTGTATTTACTAGCTATATTTACTGTAAACAATACTACTACTACCAAAATATCAAATAATTATTAAATATCATATATATTTCTTTACAATTTAAAACAGCATCTCATAAAAAAATCTTGCATATACCATAGGAATGTTATAACAGAAAAATCTTGGTGGTTTCAAAACCTTGACTTTTCCAAACCCCTCTATACCCTGAAAAATGGTTATTGTCCCATGCCTAATGGGGTGTACTCATTTATGCTGAGCCCTAACTATATATTATATTCTTATCATGCATCAAATGTTCTGCCAGAGTAAATAAAATGTCTAGATTCTCCACTACTGTAGATTGTCCCGTGAATCTGCAGTGAGTTTGACAGAAGCCTCCTCCAGATCTGGATCCTCCACAGAGCACACAGTGTTCAAGCTCGGCGTGACGTTCACTCGGGCTACATTAACTTTGGATGAACTGAACACGAGGGACACAGGGGGCTGCAACAAGCCATTTGATATATGGACAATGGGCGCCTTCTATTTCTTGAGATAAATTGGCTTGTAGGATCCAGTCTGGCTTTTTGTGCGCTCCCGCTCGTGCTAGTGTTGTGATTTATACGACCAAATCTCTGGCTCTTGTATTGAACTTAACCATCAAACCAGGCCATGCTGTGCTCTTTTCGCACCGCTTTTGTCGCTGTCACAATAATCTGGAGTGCTGTTGTTCGCCCACTTGCTGCTCACAGGCACCAAGACTAAATTTGCTTTTCTTGGTCATCCATACCCACCGTGGTCCCGTATGAATCGTGCCTTGTTCTTGTCCGGCTCTGAAAAGTTGTTACTGTATTGTGCTTCTGATTGGATTTTCATAAACTCAGCATGCGTTTATGCCAGCTAAAGATGACTTATTATCATATGTCCCCCTCTCATGCCGTCCACAATGCGTTTGATCTTTTCATCCAGATGCTGGATTTAATGTAGAAGAAAGGGCCTTATGGAGGCTTCTTTATGTTCTCTTTAGCGGTTAGCAGGAGGTAGCCGTGTTGTAAATAGTAGCTGAGGGGAGAGAGCAGAGTTGGTCATTAAATGGATGTCAGCCGAGTGTTAATTTGAAAGCGCACTGCAGTGTTAATGTGAAAGTGTGTTTTTGTGATGATGTGAGGAATTCGGGGGCCGCTTGCTGTTATTATGTGGTGCTTGAGAACGAATAAGCTCTTAGCAATCAGCCCTTTACGCATGAACTTCAAGCAATCAGGAGTTACAATCACCTGTTAACTTGCAATGATAAGAAAAATTTGAATATTTCACCAAACTTATTGTTATTGTTTATATGTATTTTTAACATTAGAACTACCTAAACAGATCGTTTTTAAATTTTATAATTAATAACTTTATAAAAAAGGTCCGTTTTACTACAATACCCTGCCTTTTCTTAAATGTGTGTATATGGCATTTGAACATTGTTTTTTTTATTCAAATTACTAAACATTAACAAGTATTAATACATTGAATGGCCGTAAGGCTTTCCATGCTTTTTAATGTGTGCTTCTATTGCCTAAAAACTTAATTAAATTGATGACAAACCTTTAAAGCTTCTAAATTTTAAAATCTCAATAGTTGCTTTGGATGTAAATGTAGCATGACACAAATTTAGTTTGGTCAGAATGACCGTTATTGCCATTATTTTAGTAGAAACGGTGGTAAGCGGTGGTAAGCATATATGTATTTCTTTACAAATGATTGATATTTATGGAAATGATTATGTAACCTATGTATATAAATGCATATTTTGTAAAATAGAAATACATGTTTTATGATGCACATTATGATGACATTGCAGAGTCTCTACTTGACAAATATCTTGTCATTGATTTCAGTTGTCAGAACAACACATAGTAACTTGACTTCTAGTTGATCATTTGGAAAAGTGAGAGAAGGTAGATTTTTCCAATTTTTTCTCCAATTTTTCCCACATAGACCAAAGATTCTCACAGAAATCAGTCAAGTATGGTAAAAAAAAAATATATATATATATATATAATGGTTTGGGGTTACATTCAGTATGGGGACATGCGAGAGATCTGCAGAGTGGATGGCAACATCAACATCCTGAGGTACCAAAACATTTGTGCTGAAAGTAAACAAGGTCAAGGTGATCCAGGATTGGCCAGCCCAGTCACCAGAAATGAACATTATTGAGCATGTCTGGGGTAAGATGAAGGAGTAGGCATTAAAGATGAATCCAAAGAATGTTGATGTAATCTGGGAGACCTGCAAGAACGCTTTCTTTGCCATTCTACATGACTTTATTAATAAGGTATTTATTAAGTTACTAGATACATTGCAGAGATGTATGGATGCAGTCTTCCAGGCTCATGGGAGTCATATACAATAATATTTCTTTTTTTCGCTGCACCATGACTTTATATTCAAATTAATTCATTCTAATTAAATAATTAAAAATCAAGGCATGATGATACTGAATGATCAACTAGAAGTCAAGTTATTATTTGTTCATCCTAAAACTTGGATAAACGACAAGACTTTTATCAGATAGTGTAGATATTTCTAACATATTTGGTGAAAACATAAAGTAGCAATGACTCTGTTGTTTAAAGAGATTTTCTAATAGTATTTTAGTATTAAATATGTACCTTCTGTCCCAATTCGGCATTGTTTGCCAGCTTGCATACATAAATAGACACATGGATCCATCGCACACATGGTCTGAATGAACAGTTGGCGGGGATATTGAGCTCTGTGTGTGATGTGGTGTGGTCAGCGATGACATGCCTAATTTAACATCTTTTTATCGACCGCATCATACGTGTGCAATTGATTCTGCCTCCGTAAAGCAAAACAGTGTCCGCATACGTGCATCTCTGTGGCCATATTGTCTGACACAGAAAGACATCTCCGCCTGCGGTCTTCTCACACACACACATAGAGGCAGCCCATACTGTGCCATATCTGAGCGCAGCAGTCCATTCGTTGGCCTTCTGTGTGTGTGTTTGTGTGTAATGTGAGGATCGTTGACTCTTGCATGCACACACACATGGTGAAGTGAGACTGGCACACTGTGTGTAGACGGTGCACCGCTGTGTTGCGGTACACACTCTGGCTCTTCTCCCAGTGGGCCAGTGGTTACCGGCTGGCCTCTGAAGTTCCACCGCCTCTGCTGCGCCACAGGGAACAGTCAGCTCAGCTCGCTGGACACGGCAAACCTTTAAACCCCCTCTCTGATTGGTAAAGGTCAGCGCATAGTTACTGTTTTGCACCTTTTTTCGATTTCTCATCAGGGCCAGAAAGGAATATGTGTGCTTTCTGCATAAATTACAGGCGAACAATAGCTGGAAGATAGAGTGGGATGCAAATCCAATAGCATTGGAGATGGAGATTCATTGTCAGGCTAAATGATTGGCAAGTAGAGCTGGATGGATAAGTATAATGAAGAGCACGCAGATAAAAGCTTAATTTTATCTTGGAGAATGTTTCTTTGTCGTTTTCGCACAATTGAAGTGATTCGTTAGCTATACGTACATTCAAAGTCCAATAAGGTCTACAAAATAAGGAGGTGCCGGTCGAAAGACCGCTAATTGGAATCATTTTTTCTGTCAAATTATTCCCCCAATTCATTGAGGCTGCTAACCAATTGAAGAATCCAAAGCCCATCAACACATCTAATAGAAACCATACTGGGGAATGAGGAGGATACAATATCTGAAGACTTTAAATGCAAATACCTCTAAATGGCGTCTGAAATTTTCCTGTAAAATGGGCATTTTTATCAGGTTTAGTAACATCACTTTTATGGCAAAAATTAGGTCCTTTTCCTGGTCTTTAAAGTGAAATATCTCAACATAAACAAAGGAGGCTGAGAAAATGTTAATTTTTGATAGAAATTTCAGATGACACTTAGAGGTTATTGCATCTGAACTCTTCATATATAGTTAAAGTCAAAATTATTAGCTCTCTTGTGGGCTCCTAGATTTTTTTTTTTTCAATATATTTCCCAAATGTTGTTTAACCGAGCAAGGAATTTTTCACAGTATTTCCTATAATTTTTTTTATTTACAGTATTTCCTATA